CCCCGCCCTCAGCCCCGCGCTGCGGACCCCGCCCCCCCGCCCTCTCGGCCCGCCCGCTTCGGCGGGCGGCCCTGACCTCCGGCTGGCCGTTCACTTTCACAAACACGCGTCCTCTGTCCGTGTCGTAACTCTGACCCTGGCTAATGCACCCGCCCCCTGAGTGGCCCGTGGCCTTGACGGAGCTGCAGCCCAACTCCCGCCTCAGCAGCTCCTCCATGTTCCCTGCGGACTCGCCTCAGGCGGCCCCGGGACGCCCGCGACGGCGCGGTGAGGCCTGGGGACCAGGAGAGGCGCCGTTACGTCACGTAGGGGCGGGGCCTGCTGAACGCGCCGGGATTGGGTGAGAGGCGGGGCGACGCCGTGAGGGCGGGGCCTAGTGACGCTCAGGGATTGGGTGAGAGGCTGGGTGACGCCAAGGTGGAGGCGGGGCTATGCCGGGCTGGGGCGGGGTGACGCCGGCTGGGGGCGGGGCCTCGCTGCGGCTCCCGGGGACGTGGAGGCTCCGGAGGTCTCAGAATAAAGTCTGGCCCGACCTGTGTGGCTCAGTGGTTGACCACTGACCTATGAACCAGGAGGTCAGGGTTTGATTCCGGGTCAGGGCACATGCCCAGGTGGCGGGCTCGATCCCCAGGAGGTGGTGCAGGAGGCAGCTGATCAGTGATCCTCTCTCATCATTGATGTTTCCATCTCTCTCTCCCTCTCCCTTCCTCTCTGAAATCAATAAAATAAAAAAATTTAAAAAAAGAATAAAGTCCGCTTTGCTCCCTGTATTAGTCAGGGTTCTCCAGAGAAACCCAACCAACAGGATGTGTATACATATAGAATGATTTGTTTAAAGGGGTCGGCTCACACAACTATGGAGGTGGAGACCAATATCCGAAGGGTAGCCCAGTTCTGCGGACAGGATTTCCTCTCCTTGGGGGAGGTCAGTGTGTGTTCTATGCTCGCCTTTCCTGAGAGGGTGAGGCCCACCCACACTATGGAGGGGAGTTGGCTTTACTCAAAAGCCCAGTTATCCGTGGCTGCTTGTGTGGGGGTTTCCTGCCCGCACCAGCTGGCCTTGCTGCACCCGACTTCAAGACACCACATTGCCCGGCCGGTGTCGCTCTGGGGGTGAGCGTGGACCCATGAACCAAGAGCTCCCCGTTCCATTCCGGGTCAGGGCACATGCCTGGGTTGCAGACTCGATCTCCAGTAGGGGGCGTGCAGGAGATAGGTCATCCATGTCTCTCATTGATGTTTCTATCTCTCTATCCCTCTCCCTGCCTCTCTCTAAAGTCAATAAAAACATATTTTTAAAAGAGAGAGAGAGATACCACATTAGCTCAACATTTATTCCCAACCAAAGTCTCTCTCCTTGACCACGGAGTCGGATTTCCAGTTCCCCCCAACGCCGAGTTTGAGGGTGGAGGGTGCGGGCACCTGACAGCTGGAGCCAGGTCTCCGCGCGGGCTGTCGGGACAGACCCGGCTCGAACCCAGCTCCACCTTCCACCTTCTCCGCTCGGGCCGGTCTGGTGTGAACTACCCTGAGGATGGGCTGCTGTCTGTGGGGCTGAGAAGGGACAGTGCGGGCAGCCAGGAGGGGGCCTGAGACCGACGCAAACTTTGTAGGCTGGTCACACGCGGGCGGGAGGCTCCGGAAGGGGGCGGGGCCTGGGGGCGTAGAGGGGCGGGGCCTGGGCGGAGCACCGGTGGGCGGGGCCTGGGCGGAGCACTGGTGGGCGGGGCATGGGGAGGGCAGGGGCGGAGTGTGGCGCGGGGTGAAAGTCTGGCGCGAAACCTGCATTACGTGGATTTCCTGCGGCTGTGATACTAGCATCGGTGAGGTTACAGTTTTGCTTAAAATAGTTTTTCTTTCTATATCGGAAGAACAACTGGCACCTTGACTGTGAATTCTTAGTGAGTCATCAGCAAATATACACCCAGTGTGAAAGTCTCATCAGCTGTCAGTTTCTATTTACTTTTCGACAGCGGGGGAGAGAAATCAGAAGTTCATTGGTGTGTGCAAGTGCCTGGGGCTTGAGAGAAAATATGATCAGTCCCTTTTTAGTTCTTAAGTCTATTTTTATGTGAGCATCAGAGAAAGAAACTAAAGAAATGCTTTTCCATAGTCAAGTGGGAAACAGATTTCCTATTATGTAGAGATCCCTTGTATATCACCCAGAGATGGCAAACATTTCTCTCTCCCCCACCTCCCATAGTAGGTGATCCAATTGTGCTCTAGGCCTGACATCCTACGTTGTGATGGAGTCTGGTGGTTCCAGACAAAAATGGCAGGACAAAAATCTCTCTTCTCCCTCGATAAATTACCACAAGAACCTAAAACTAAGGGGCAACCACAGGGTACGCAGACAAAAAGTAAGAATACACATAGCAGACCCAGTTGTTGCCGTATGTGTATGGGTAGCAGCACCTACTGCAGGCACTGGGACCCTATGCCTGGGGACAGCAGTGGAGCATTCCAGAGTGGGCAGACCTCTGTTCCGGATGTACTCCTTGGGTGGGGACATCCAATATGCCCTTCAATCACCCCCACCCCTCCAGGTCCCCAGTGGGACTGAGCCCAGGTGTCTGAGGCAGTCTTAATAGCTATGAAAGTGTAAGTGGCTGCAGATGTCCCCAATCTACAGCAAGATGGGTGTGGGCCCTGAAAAGACACAGCCCTCAGTGGGTTCTCTGACCTCACCCACCCACTCTCTCCTCCCTGTGGCTTGAGCTCTCCCCATCCCATCATCCTCCCACAGGGCTGATGAACCACAACCACCGGCAATAGAATAAAAAACAGCCCATATATGTCACCGTGCTCAAATCAAACGATTCTTGTTTTTAACTTTCATTTTTAAAATATTTTAATTCTAAAAATGATTTCAGGAAGCATGGGGAACAATGAAGGAGGTAAATTATTTCAGGGTCTCTGAACAGTACTTTTTGTCCAGTCCAATAAGGTAAGTAAAGGTTCATAAGGGAAATGTTTTAGGAAACCAAGGTGATGAAAATAACATTCAACCTGAAATCACCATCCAGGAAAAAGACTCAGAAAACAGCTTGGAAAAACCAAAATAGCTGAAACCGGTTTGGCTCAGTGGATAGAGCGTTGGCCTGCAGACTGAAAGGTCCCAGGTTCGATTCCGGTCGAGGGCATGTACCTGGGTTGCGGGCACATCCCCAGTAGGAGATGTGCAGGAGGCAGCTGATCGATGTTTCTCTCTCATCGATGTTTCTAACTCTCTATCTCTCTCCCTTCCTCTCTGTAAAAAATCAATAAAATATATTTTTAAAAAACCAAAATAATAGAATCAAATTATACTCATTAGATCCCACTTTTAGTAGCAGAAACACTCAGTATGTGCAACATAAAAACAATTCTTACCACTTACTCAGCACCTGTCATTTGCCAGGCACTGTGCTAGGTACTTTACAATCATGATGTCAAATTCTGAAAACCATTCTTGGGTAGATGGTTAAAGCTGTTTTTTGAAACAGAAGAAAATGAAGCTCATTAAAGTTTAATGACTCATCTAAAGCATCATAGAGCTGGTAGGTATTAGAACTAGGTTTAGGATCCAAGTTTTCTTCCACACCACACAGCACCCATCATAAGGAAAACTAGCAGAATAAATTGCTCTTAGTATTTTATCCAAATTTCATTTGTAAAATCCTAGACATGGCCAACTATTCTCATACAGCAATATCTACCTTTCTAGTATTAATAAGAAAACCTGTTGTGTTCTTACCATGTGTTCGGACAACAGTGTTATCACAGTTAACAATAAGCTATTCTTGTCCTCAATTCCAATGATTTAGAATCTTTTACTGAAAATAAGAAGCCCTCTGATTAAAATATAAAACACGATATTCTATTTAGTAACAAACACAAACACCCGAAATGCCATTTTTGACCCACTTCTGCTTAATAAGAATCCAGCCTGCATTTGTCCGTATTAAACTAAGAGGTCCCTGGAGAGATCGCAGTGGTGACCAAATGCAATATGATGGCGGAGCCTACACAGACACAGGAAACAAAGCTAGGCCCTTCCACACAGCCACACGTCCTTGCGATGATCTCATTTTAAGTCAATGTCTCTTCGTGTTGCCTATATTCCCCAATGTCTGCTTGACGAAATACCACAATCGCCATGGGGTCTACTTTCCTGCAGTCTGTGTAGACTTTGCTGCCACCCCGAAACCCAAAGGGATGTCTGCCATGGAGCACACGACCACTCCCTGTACTGAGACGCGTTTTCAGTGATTCGACCCAGTCCAGATTTTAACACGTGATTCCCATGCAGGAAGGACTGCTCTGCTCCAGGCTTTATCCACACTTGGTACTTGGCATAGGGTGCAAGGTAATCCAGAGCTATGATGTGCAACCGGAATTTGTGGGTCTTAGTGAATTTTCCGAAGCAAGTCCCCAGCGACACCAGCCTGTCACCGGAGATGTTGGCGGCCAACTTCAAGATCTTTTCACTCACGTAGTACACCCCGTCGTTGTGCAGCCTGAAACAGTAGGTGCTGTTGGGCCAACCGACCAGCAGCTGAAGGTTCTCCCCGATGCTGTGGGCAAAAGGAGGACTGGAGGCCGCGTCCGAATGGAGGGGTCCGGCTCCTCAAATGATTCTTTAAATAAAAAAAAAAATCAGCCCTAGCCAATTTGACTCAGTGGATAGAGCGTAGGCCTACGGACTGAAGGGTCGCGGGTTTGCTTCCTGGTCAGGGCACATGCCCGGGTTGCTCCCCAGTAGAGGGCGTGCAGGAGGCAGCCAATCAATGATTCTCATCGATGTTTCTATCTCTCTCTCCTCCCTTCCTCTCTGAAACCAATAAAAATATATACATATTTAAAAATCAAGTGATTCTTGGCGTATTTTGACCCAATAGGGAAAGAAAATGTGATGATACAGAAGAGAAAGTGGGCGGGCATTCGCACGAAGATTTTATTGAGATAAACGGCCACCTACCTGGTCAGCACTCCAGAGCGGAAGGCAGGCCCAGGCCTGAAGACCGTGGCTCTCTGAACCGGGAGGGAGCCCGGAGCTGGAGGGTCCCCCCTTTTCCCCTGCTCCAGCATCTGCACAGACACGTGCACACGTACACAGGCGCGCGAGCACACACAGGTACGCGCACCCACGGACTTTGAGTCGCTCTGGGACAAGGAAGAGGCCTGGGCAGCCGTGGGGGAACACCGAGCTCGTCCCTGACAGGGACCCCTGGCGCCAGGAGACTTGGCCCTGGCGCCCGGGCCTGGGGTCCGCGTACAGAATCGCCCCACCGCACCGGCTGCCGGCCCACGCGGCACAGTAAACGCCCGGCCCGCCCACTGCTCATCCCGCCCCGCATTGGCTGCCGGATCAGCGTCCCCGCCCCCTGTCACCTCTGGCTCCGCCCCACTCCGTCCCTGGACCCCCATGGCCCCGCCTCCCGTCCACCATTGGCTGCGGCTGTGGTGGGCGTCGGTCTGGAGGCGGAGACCGCAGCAAGATGGACGGGCAAGATAGCCAATGAGCGCGCGCAGCTACCTTAGCAACTACGGCCAGCCAATGGCGGGGCGGGGCGGGGCCGCACACTGTCAGGCGGTGGGGGCACGGAGCCCAGCGTTCGGCCGACTGCGGGTTTGCGCGGCGCCTGTGTGCCCCGCCACCTCCTCTGCGCCGTCCCGCGGGCCGGGCATGGGCGCGGGCGCCGGCACCATGAGCGTCCTGGGCAGCCCGGTCCGCGCCTACGACTTTCTGCTCAAGTTCCTGCTGGTGGGCGACAGCGACGTGGGCAAGGGCGAGATCCTGGCGAGCCTGCAGGACGGCGCGGCCGAGTCCCCCTACGGCCACCCGGCGGGTGAGCCCGGCGCGGAGAAGAGCGGGGCCAGGAGAGTGCCAGGCGGGCGGGAGCCTGGTGGGAAGCGCCGGGAGGGCAGCGGGGGAGCGGGGCCGGGGATGGGGGAGGACTTGGGCCGGGCCGGGAGGGAGCGCACCGAGGGTCGGGGAGGAGCGGAGCTGGGTGCGGGGAGCGTGGGGCTCGGGACCGGCCTGTCTCTGCCTGGATCGGGCCCACACTTCGCGGGCGGCTCCGGCAGCACCCCAGTCCCGCAGGTGGGGGACCCAGGCGGCTCGCGGGGGGCCGGGGGCGGACGCAGATGCGCATCTTCCGTCCTCCCCGTCCGGAGGGAGCGAGTGGCTGGGCAGGCCGCGGGAGGTCCTCCCGACCTGGGGGTGACTGCGAGGCGGAGGAGGGCGTGGGGATTTGGAGGGCCCCCCACAGGGAGGCCCACGTGCGCGCGACGCATTTGGAAAGAATGCGTGGGGTGTGGAGACCGGAGCGGATTCGAGCGTGGGATCCAAGTGGAGCGGGCTCAGGCTTCCAGGTGGCTGCTCTGCGCGTGGGTCGGAGGAAGAGGAGGGAGAGAAGAGCAAGAGGCCTGGTCTGGGGGCTCCTGCAGGGTTCCCGGCGTGACCGGAGGGCTCCTGGTCCAGGTGGACAGGCCTGGGAGGGCAAGGAACCTAAGTGACCCTGGAGAGTGCGGCCCTGGGCGGAGACAGTGCAAGGGAGTGGGTTCCGGGGCGAGGGGAGGCCCGTGGTCCCAGAGCTCCAGGACAAGGGGTTTCCTCAAGGTTTGAGGTTTGACAGCCGCAACCCCAAGAGGGGGTGGGCATTGGGAGGGAAAGAGGGGCAGGGGGAGGAGAGGGAAGTGCGGTGGGCAGACACTGGAGCCAGGAGACTGGAGGGTCAGGGTCTCTGCCCACCGTGAGCGGCTGTGCAGGGCAGACTGAGCGGTCGCGGAAGGAAACCTGTCCTCGGTCACCTTTGAGCATCCTCTCAGGGTGCGAACCGCACCTGAGCACAGACCCTGCGGCTCTGCCTCTCACTCGTGCTCTGGGCTTGCGGTCTGGTGCTCGGGGCGCAGGAGAGGGAGCCCAGGGGGCGGAGTCTTTTCTTTGTTAATGTGAAGATCTATTTGGCTTTAGTAAGAGATCCATGAATTGGGCAGCATCCCACCTAGCAACTGGCAGGGTGCTGCCAGGGTGGAGGCTTGATGCTGACGCCAGCCTGGGTGTGCTTCGACCTCCCCAGGTGGGATAGAATGGAGAACAGTGCAGAGGCGTTTGCACAGCATGGGGGGTTGGGGGTGGGGGGGAGGCTCACCAGGAGATAAACAGGATCTGAGGCGGGAAGAGGGAGAGCATTTGCCTCTGCTTCAGTAGAGAGAGCAGGGCATCCCTGAAGGGCAGCCGACGTGGTAGGACCCTGGATGGGCTCCTGGGGGTCAGGGAGGTAAAGAGGGACAGCTGGGCCCTGACCGTGTGGCTCAGTGGTTGGGCATCGACCTATGAACCTGATCTCGGTTTGATTCCCTGTCAGGCCGTAGGCTCTGGTTGTGGGCTTGATCCCCAGTGTGGGGTGTGCAGGAGGCAGCCGATCCATGATTCTCTCTCATCATCGATGTTTCTCTCTCTCCCATTCCCTTCCTCTCTAAAATCAATAAAAATATTTATTAAAAAAGAGTGGGCAGGAGGGAGCATTGGGTTCCTGAGCAAGGGAAGAACAGAACACAGGATCATCTTAGGGAGAGTGGCCGGGGAAGAGGGTGTGGAGACAGAGCCGGGGGAGTTTGAGACGATGGGCATGAGCTGATGAGGAGAACTGGACTCATCCTCAAATTGCAATGGACAGAGAATCACCTGGAGGTCCCACGCAGATTCCGATAGATTCTGGAACAGTGTTGTCCGAGATGATGCCATTAGCTACACAGGGCTTTTTAAATTTAAAGTAGTTAAGCCCTAGCCGGTTTGGCTCTGTGGATAGAGCATGGGCCTAGGGACTGAAGGGTCCCGGTCAAGGGCATATGCTTGGGTTGTGGGCTTGATCCCCAGTAGGAGGCATGCAGGAGGCAGCCAATCCATGATTCTCTCTCATCATTGATGTTTCTCTCTCTCTCCCTCTCTCTTCCTCTCTGAAATCAATACAGATATAAATAAATAAATGTAAAGTAGTTAAAATGGAAAGCAATCGAAAGTTGGCATCGGCCACATTTCCAGGGCTCAGCAGTGACAGCACACGGGTGGCCGAGGTCTGCTGGACTAGGCAGCCCCGAGTTTAAGCTCCAGGAGGGCAGAGGCGGTTGCTCCACAGCTGGGCCCTCAGGGCTCCGCGGTTGAATGGAGGTGAAGGAATAACACATTCAACACTAAGGCGTGGCGCTCTCCCAGCTGGGTGTGTTTGAGGGACCGAGCTGTGGGGTGCTTTGAATTGTACAGTCGGTGAGCAATGTGGGGCAAACATGAGCTCCTGATGGGTCTGAACAAGGGCTGGACTAAGCTTCTGGTGCATTCCTTTCTTTTTGTTAGGTGACCGACCAGGACTTCTAAAAACAGGGCTTTCTTCCAAAGTTTATTCCTTGTCTTAGATGTGCCCCTTGTGAGTTTTTGATTTATTGAAAGATTCTTCTAGGATTAAGAAAAGAGATGATGAAAAATTGTGAAAAGTAGGAATCTTTTTTTTAAAGACAGGTTTTACTTCAAAACTATGGGTGCTTCTGACATTCAAAGGCCAAGGCATTTTCAGCTTACATCTCCGTTCCCCTCCGCCCACCCCACACCTGGGTTTTGTAGCCTGGGCTGTTGTTTTCACATTGCCAGGTTTATAACACTCACTTGTGTTGTTGCTACAATGACCATAATTGCTCGGTAATAATTCACCAGGTAAGGCCAGTGCTCACCACCAGTCCTGTTTCCCTCTGTGTCAGTGGGTTCTTTACTTTGCTATCTCTCTAATGAGCTAGATTTCTTTTCCCGTCATTTTTCAGGGAGGGATCATGAGTATTTCCTGAACATTTTCACGTTTGAGAATGTCTAGTCCATTGTCTTTATCTTTGAATGATAGCTTGGCTGGGTATAATATTCTTAGGTTATATCTTTTTCCCCTCAACACTTTGTGACTATTGTCCCGCTACCTCCTTGGCATTGGATGTGCTGTGATGAAGCCTGAGGTCGGCTGATTTTTCCCCCATGTGGGCGATTTGCCTTTTCTTCCTGAATTTCTGAAGAATTCTTTCTGTTGTTTCATAGTCTGTTAGTTTAACTAGACCACGTCTCAGAGATGAATAATTGGTATTGAAGTTCTAGTAAGCTCTGTACTCTTTGAATTTTGCAGAATCCTTTTTCAGTTTCAGGGAAATTTATTTAAATGTTCCTAAAACATCTTCTGTTACATTTGTTGGTGTTTTTACTTAAGGGGCACCAATTGTACCAGGTGTACCTGTTAATAATGCAGATTTTTTTTTCAATAGATGGAGTTACACATATGTTGATATATATGCGATTTGATAGTATGCTATTTTGTTGTATTGACAACAAGCTTCAAAACTTCATATGTCAAATTTTCTGAAGGTGTTAACATCAAGGATATTTTTACACTTAAAAAGGTCAAATTTCGTGTCAAAAAGAGCATTTGCGGGAAGTTTTAATTCAATACTTTATTTTGAAGGAAATTGCTGTTGAAAGTTATCGTGCCCTAACCGGTTTGGCTCAGTGGATAGAGCGTCGGCCTGCGGACTCAAGGGTCCCAGGTTCAATTCTGGTCAAGGGCATGTACCTTGGTTACGGGCACATCCCCAGTAGGGGGTGTGCAGGAGGCAGCTGATAAATGTTTCTCTCTCATTGATGTTTCTAACTGTCTATCCCTCTCCCTTCCTCTCTGTAAAAAATCAATAAAATATATTTTTTAAAAAAATAAAGTTATCGTATACTTTGGGAAGCTTATGGTGAACATGCTCCATCTCAAGACACTTGTGAACACTGGTTTAAATGCTTTAAAAGTGATGATTTCTATGTGAAAGACAAAGTACATCCAGGTCAACCGAAAAAGTTGGAAGACCAACAATTACAAGCATTATTGGATGAAGATGCGTGTCAAATTCAAAAATAACTTGCGGAAAGATTAAACGTTGCTCAGCAAACAATTTCCGACCGTTTACAAGCAATGGGAACGGTTTTAAAGGAAGGAAAATGGGTGCCACATCAACTGAACGAAAGACAAATGGAAAACCGAAAAGTCATCAGTAAAATGTTGCTTCAACAGCACGAAAGTCTTTTTTTTGCATCGAATTGTGACTGGCGATGAAAGTGGATTTATTTTGAGAATCCCAAACACACAAAATCATGGGTTGATCCAGGTCAACCATCAACATTGACTGCAAGGCCAAATCACTTTGGAAAGAAGACAATGCTCCGCGTTTGGTGGAATCAGGAAGGCGTGGTGTATTATGAGCTTCTAAAACCAGGTGAAACCGTTAATACTGATCGCTACCGACAACAAATAATCTATTTGAACCACGCTTTGATTGTAAAACGACCAGAATGGGCCAGAAGACACGGCAAAGTAATTTTGCTTCATGATGACACACCATCACACACTTCAAAACCAGTTAAAGACACGTTAAAAGATCTTGCCTGGGAAATATTAACCAACCCGTTGTATTCACCAGACCTTGCTCCTTCAGATGACCGCTTGTTCCAATCGAGGGCACACGCATTTTCTGAGCAGCATTTCAAAACGTACGTAGAAGTGGAAATTTGGGTCTCTGAATGGTTTGCCTCAAAACAAGAAAAGTTCTATTGGGACGGTATCCACAAATTACCTGAAAGATGGGGGAAATGTGTAGCTAGCGATGGACATTACTTTGAATAAAGCACTTTTGATGTTTCTCTTGAAATTATCGTGTTTTCTTTGGATTACAAAATCCGTATTATTAACTGGTTAATAGTTAATTCACACTATTAACCAGTTAATAATAAATCTGCATTTTAACTCATTAATAGTAATCCGTATCATTAACCAGT